CAGTCGAGTGTTTGAAATAAATCCTTCTGTAAGATGTGGCTTCTTAAACAGAATAATTAAGGCACACAATATTTCATTGTATTCTAAGCAGTGATAAAGGCTATGTCGATTAGCATTTCATTATAGATATACTTTATTATGATGAAAATTATACGAGAGAGACAATCGCAGCTTCTGCCTAATTGCGATTTATTGCCTTTGTGATTTAATTTCGATTAATTGTACAGCCCTAGATCTGTGGACCAGTGTTGGTCTAGTTTCTCAAAGAACGTAATATATAACTCATTACTAGTTACTCCTTTCAAAAGTAATATTGTTACTTATTACTTTCTGGCAACAGTGCATGCGCGAGTCGTGAAAATTATGATTATGAAATTATTTGATTGTTAGATTTTAAATCAGCGGGGTTAAGGCATCAAAAGTAACTAAACTGTTTTATGGAGGGTAACTGTAATATTATTAAATGTAGTAATTTAATATTTAATAAATTATTAAATATGAAATCTTAGTAATTAGTTACACTACTAGTTACTGCAAAAAGTAATATTATTATTACAGTAACTAAGTTACTAGTAACTACTGTCCAACACTGCTGTGGATACACTTTAAAGCGTTGTAAGCCTAATGTACCACAAACAGTCATTAAAGATGAAGAATAAACACAAACCTCCTTGTTGCTCGTGTTTTATTCTCCAGGTTTCTGGTTCCTCGTGTGTTATTCTCATGGGTTCTGGGTCCTCGTGTTTTATTCTCCAGGTTTCTGGTTCCTCGTGTTTTATTCTCCAGGGTTCTGGTTCCTCGTGTTTTATTCTCCAGGGTTCTGGTTCACTTGTGTTCTCCTCACTCTCCTCTTTAACAAACGCCATCTTCACAGCCGCAGATCTCAGTTCAGCTGTTACTCCTCCAGATATTCCTGCTTGCTTCAAAACTTAGACACGACTATGAGGATGAGAATATTAAAGGTATTTACTGACCTGATTAAAAAACTGTATTTTTCTATTTACAGAAACAACATTTCTAACCGTTTTTATAAAGTCAGCATCACGACAAAACAACAGAGAGCGCAGTGAAACTAATCTTCTTCCTCTGAGGTTTAATGGTGTTTGGCAAACAAACGTATGTGTTTTAGCGCCACCCGCTGGACTGGAGTGTGAAGCGGAGAGAGGAGGAAAATAATACGGGGAAATGACTTAGTGCGTCTATAAGGTGCACTGATTTGTTTTCCTTTTAAAAAAGCCGATCTGCACAAATAAATGAAAAGAACATAAATTATAGACTCGCATGGTATTCGATCAACACCAACAGTCTTCGTGAGTGAGGATTAGAGGAGAAAAACGAGAGAAGTCAAAATGGTTAAGGGCCATTCCACCGAACGGATGCTATTTTTTCTATTTATTTATTTTGTTAAGATTGAATCTAGTAATACACATATTTAACTATTCAAAATCTGTACTGGTCAATCTCAGGTAACTTTATTTAAATTTTTGCATGGTTTTTAAGTGGAAGATGGATGTATTTTTCTCAGTACTGTTACCAACTCTTATGTCTTTTAGGAAAGCATGTTTCAAAATATGTCAACAAATTCATTCATTTTCCCCTCAAGCAGGTGTTTATTTTAAAGAAATTGTTGGTTTCATGGTCAAAAAATTAATATTTATCTTTTTTTTTTTTTTTTTTTTTAATCACTATTTATCTACACATGGTGGTTTTTTTTTCTAAGGTACACAAACCCATTTCTTAATTTTAAAGGTGACTCAAATCCATTACCACGGGAAGTAGGGGTGCTGAGGCGTGTAGCCCAAGAAAAAATGAGGGAAAATTTTGTAACAAAAAAATAAATAAAACTCCTTTTATTAATTTGTATATACAATAAAATTAATAGAAAAAGTAGCCTAAGCCTACAATGACAATAAGCAACAGTAAAACATGAATAAGTTGAATCAAACTGATTGTGAAAGTCGTTTCAACTTAAACTGACTTAGGAAGTCATTTGTTGCCATGACTTTTTAATCATATTATTTACCTGTAACATGTCTGTGCAGTACCCAAATCAAGAATTAACGACCATTTCTACAGCCATTGCAAAGATACAGCAGAGAAAGATCGAGAGTGTCTATTTATCTCAGCAGCAACCAATCTCGCATCTGCAGCGCTTATCTTGATCTTTAACGTTAGATCTTTCCTATTCTTGGAACAAAATTAATGCTTAAGGACAAAATTAATGTGATTCAGTATTACTCTTAATGAACAAAAAAAAATAAATCCTGCACACAACATCAGCAATACTACAATGAAAAAGTAGCTTATATTAAACATAAAACTTTTATTAACAGAACGAATAAGACATACCCATGTTGTAACAAATAAATAAAAGGTTTTTGGATTTTCCCCTTACTTCAAACGAATGCTTAGTTTGTGGCTTATTATTAATAATAATAATAAAAAAGGCTATACAATAAAACAGTACAATGACAAATTCACATATTAAACTTTGAAATTGTATTAACAATATGAATAAGGAAAATGTTTTACCCACATTGTAACACAAATAAATAAACGGTCTTTGGATTTCCCCTTTCTTTAAAACCACTTCAGCTCTGCAGCATATTTTTGAAATTTTTTTTTTTTACAGATTTTTGGCATACCTGGATTTAAAATAACCTGGATTTAAATCCCACACATTGGAGTAAATTGATCAAAAAAATGTCTAATTTTATAGAAAACATCCTAAATTTTAACACACGGGTGGAATAATTAATATTTTTATTGTATTTTTTCATAATTTTATGATAAACACAAATAAAAAATATAATTTTGATTTTTTTTTTAATTAAGTTTTTATTTGAAAGTTTGTTATTTAAGATCTGTTTGGTCCATGTCCCTGCAGAAAGTTTCGTTTGATTCCACTAGGTGCCAGTAAATAAGGGAAAAAAGAATTTTCTTTGTATCATTTTTTAAAACTTTTTAAAGTTATGGATATTTAATTGAAGAGAGGCAATATGTCCACTAGTGGTCTCTATTCTGCGAGATCAGGCACACCTGAATTTGAAAGAGGGGGGCAAATTCAGACTTTATTATGTTACTTGTACAACACAACAATGGATAAGTTAATATAAAATTCTTGTTTATTGAACTGCTGTATAAAATCAATATCACATTTGTAATCATGCTGCATTTTGGTGGAAAAAACGTCAATCTTCACGTGATACTGATTAACTATATGAAATTATATAAACATTTCTGCCCCCTTATCTTGAATTTTGTGATCATTCTAAAAGCATTTTAATAAACTGAATCATGCAGTGAAAGAACGTGCACTGGTCTAACCTACTAGAATTCCTATTGCTTTAGCTAAACTTTAGCTAACTTACATGGTACTGTAGCTCTCTCATGAGTCATGAATGTTAGCAAGACAAATTAACTATATTTGCCTTTTGTCTTTTGGATAATTAGCTGTAAATTCGAGGCACAGGTAGCTTAGTCTTTTGTTCATCACCACTCACCTCCACACCAAGACAAACACAACTGGAAAGGGAGGGAGGGCTTCACTTCTGCGGCTCTCTGCATGTCTGTGACTGTGATGCGCCAATCAATGTGTGCTACACTGCTGTGCTGCGGAGACGCGGAGGGGTGAAAGGCATCGGAACGCGACAGAGTCTCAATATTTCCTGACCCTACCTGATATTTTGATTTTTATTTGTTTGACAGGGAAAGCTGTGCGCAAACAGAAACACACACGCACGCACACGCATATACATATATTCATTTATTAAAAAAATTAAAAAAACTCCCCAGAAAAAAAGGGCACCTTCTCTCGAGAAAGAAAAGGGGCAGGTGCTCAAGCCCCCATTGATGTCTATGTGTGCACGTGCCTGGTTAAGACTGTCTTAAGAACTAGTTTTACCAGCTTGATAAATGTTCCAACTCAAATTAAACCAGTCTACCACTTTATGTAAGTAACATGAAAAAGTTCTGACCAGTCTTGAAGAAAAAAAAAAAAGATTACTAACTTTTAACAGTCATGAGCAGGTAATGCAACCGCACAATTGGTTTCAGATAATGTTTTGTTGGTGTTGTTGATGTTGTTGTTGTTTTAGTTTATTGTTTCACTTCTGTATACTATAATCAGAATCAGAATCAGAATGAGCTTTATTGCCAGGTATGTTTACACATACGAGGAATTTGTTTTCGTGACAGAAGCTTCCACAGTGCAACAGAATGACAGTGATGAATATCATGAAGATAAGATGAATATATAAGATGAAAAAGTCTGAAAACTCTGACAATGCAGTGAGACAAAATATTTATTTTCAAGTTACAATCTATGAAAACAAATAATTTAAGGATAAAATAAAAATTATGTCCTCAAGTTGTTCTAAACCTAAGAGTTTTTTTCTTTTTTTTCTGTGCTGTTGTACAGTTTCTGGGCACCTTTGACTTTCATAGTATGAAAAAAAAAAATATATATATACTGTGGGAGTCAAAGGGAACCAAATGACAGAATTTCCATTTTTGGGTGAACTATCCCTTAATCATTTAAACAGTGTTGCTTCTTAAATACATTTATCTTGTTTCGTTGCTTAGCTCTGTTGTGTATGATCTTAATTTTCTCCGTTTTTCTCTTCACAATCTGAAGAGTAATTCCATGTCTGTTTGTCTTTTCAGCAGCTACACAGTGATTTCAGGTGAATGTGTTTGCTGAAGTTAGTGTGGTATCAGTAAAACTTTTGTGCTTGTTCTCCAGGTGTGTCTGGTACAGAGACAGATGAATCTGAGTCAGTGTTAGTGATGGAGGGAGATTCTGTCACTCTACACACTAACCTTTCTGAACTACTGAACGATGATACAATATTGTGGATGTTCGGACCTAAAGACTCTCTCCTAAAGAGAAAGCATCACTTGACCTCATTTTTTGTCACCGATGATGCTGGATTCAGTGGCAGATTGCAGGTGGATCAAAAGACTGTATCTCTCACCGTCACAAACATCAGAATCAGACACTCGGGACAATGTAAACTCACCATCTCTAGAGAAAAGACTACGACAAAGACATTTAATGTGATTGTCATTGGTGAGTATCTCAAGTCTTTCACTGTAACATCAGCTGCTCTTCCACCGTTGGGCCAAAGTTTTTCCATTGCTTATGCATTCTATTCCGAAATTCAATTACAAGTTTACATCTCACCATTCAGAGTTGTTTTTTCTCGCATTGGAGAATTCATATTTCGCAATCCTGACGTTTTTCTCACAATTGCGAATTCATATCTCATAACTGACTTTTTTTCTTGCAGTTGTGAGTTTATATTGCACAATTCTGACTTTTCTTGCAATTCTATTTTTTTTCTCACAATTGCATGTTTATATCTCTCAATAATGACTTTATAACATGCAATTACGAAATTATATCACAAAATTCTGAGAAAAAGTCAGAACTGTAACATAAAAAGATGCAATTACCTTTTTAAATATTTAATTCAGTGGTGGAAATGAGTTTCAATAAACAGTGTTCTTGGCCAGCTACAGAGAAGCTGTCAGCCAGACAACAGACAAGAAAGAGACCAATCCGCAGTGGCAATTATTTCACACTATACATATTGTATAGTGGTTATAGTTATTCAGGTTTCATGATTTCAGGCCACACGTTTGCAGATATTGAGTGAGGGTTTCCAGATTTTGCACCACACGTACAGGTTTTCATGATGGGAAGTGTTGTGTAAAACATTTTGTTAAAGGGGTCATATGATGCTGCTAAAAAGAACATTATTTTGTGTATTTGGTGTAATGAAATGTGCTTATGCGGTCAGCATAAAACTTTATTCAGATTTCCCAATGTGCACTTTGTCATTTGTAATACATATGTTTAGGATCTTGTCCATATGATGTTCACTACTGTTATGAATATAATACATAACTTTTGAATACACAAGGGAAATTCCCAATATTAAACAGATAACCAAATTTACATGCTTAGGATGTTTGTGTTGTAAGAATGTACAGGAATACTTAAGATATAAGAACACTGACTTGTTAGGTGGTTTTCTCATTAAAATCGTACAATTTCCTATTAATTCAACAGAATGTACAGGTGCATCTCAATAAATTAGAATGTCGTGGAAAAGTTCATTTATTTCAGTAATTCAACTCAAATTGTGAAACTAGTGTATTAAATAAATTCAATGCACACAGACTGAAGTAGTTTAAGTCTTTGGTTCTTTTAATTGTGATGATTTGAAATAAATGAACTTTTCCATGACATTCTAATTTATTGAGATGCACCTGTACATATGGAAATATTAATAAATAGCAATATGGCGGCTTCACTTCTATGATGTCATGAGCAATCCAGTTCTCTATTATAGATTAGTGGTGGAAACTTATAATAATGGATTACTACGGTCATGTGAACTTAACAGACACATGCACACAACGGCCATAAAGTCCTCAAGACACATCATATTTTAGTCCGAAGGCTTGTTTAATACCAGGTTCAGATACCCATCCTTTCTTACAAGAGAAGCAAATAACGATCAGTTGCAAAGCTACATGACAGTATTTCTTGCATCTGCGTTTTCTGAATACATCATATGTGGAAGAACAACTAGTCCTTTAAAAAACAACAGTGAAGAAAAAGGTTAAATCAGCTTCCTGAACAAGAACAGTTTGTAAAAAGCTTCTACTTTCCCTTGATAAAAGAGTAAGCAAACTACAAGTGATACATATGCATTATAAGACAATTGAACATAATATGAATCTCATAAGCACAATTAAATCATTTATATCATGAAGCAAAATGATAGACAATAATACATCTTTTTGACATTGTTCTTTGGGGAGGAACTCCATCGAGTTGATTAAATCTCACAGTTGAATCTGCAGGTTTTGAAGATGAAGATAAACTTTATTCATTGTGAAACTTTATACGTTTCTTTGTCATGTCACTTTTAATGTCTGGTTAGGACAGATTTATCCAGACTATATTTTATTGCTTGATGCAATATTGTGTCGCATTTGATGACGCAACATCAGACCTGCAATTGCTGGATCTGAAGATGATCTACTTACTGTGATTGTTTTTTGTATGTCTGTGTAAAGCAGATGAATTATTGAAACGATTCCCACATGTAGTGCAGTGATACGGTTTCTCTCCAGTGTGGATCCTCTCATGTATTTTCAGGACTCCTGACCAACTGAATCTCTTGTCACAGTGTGAACACTTATAAGGTTTCTCTCCAGTGTGAATCCTCTCATGCAGTTTTAAACTGCTCGCTGAAGTAAAAGTTTTTTCACACTCAAAGCACATGTACTCTTTCACACCAGTATGTGTTTTCTGATGTACTTTCAAATACTGTAGACGTGAAAAACTCTTTCCACACAAATGACATGAATGTGGCTTCTCCTTTGTATGAACTTTCAAGTGTTTCTTCAGTACTGAAGCCCACATAAATGTTTTGCCGCATTGATCACACGTGTACAGTTTCTCTTCAGTGTGGATGTTCATGTGTACGTTAAGGCTTGATGATCGTGTAAAACTCTTCCCACATTGATCACAAGCGAACGGTTTCTCTCCTGTATGAACTCTCATATGTACCGTAAGGCTTCCTTTTATTGTGAAACTCTTCCCGCACTGATCACATGTGTGCGGTGTTTCTCCAGTGTGGATCCTTTCATGCGTTTTTAGGTCTCCTGAATGACTGAATCTCTTGTCACAGTGTGAACACTTGTAAGGTTTTTCTCCAGAGTGAATCCTCTCATGCAGTTTTAAACTGCTTGCTGAAGTAAAAGTTTTTTCACACTCAAAGCACAAGTACTCTCTCACACCAGTATGCATTTTCTGATGTTTTTTATTTTTTTTTAGACATGAAAAACTCTTTCCACACAAATCACTTGAACGTGGCTTCTCCTTTGTATGAACTTTCTGGTGCTTCTTCAGGACTAAAGCACAAACAAACATTTGACCACATTGATCACAAGTGAACGGTTTCTCTCTGCTGTGGATCCTCTCATGTGTTTTCAGGATTCCTGACCGACTGAATCTCTTGTCGCAGTGTGAACATTTGTGCAGTTTCACTGCAGTATGAACTCTCATGTGAACATCAAGACCATTTTTGCGTGTGAAATTCTTTCCACACTGGGTGCAGGTGAAATATTTCTTGGCTCTTCTTTTCTTTAAATCTTTCTGTTTGGTTTGAGAGCAACTCAAAAGTTTTTCTTCAGTTTTGAAGTGATTTTTCTCTTCAACTTCACTCAATTCTTCATTCTTCTCTTTTTCTTCAATCAGCTCTGAAATAAAGTTAAAAAAAAATTAATTTTCAGTAACTCGTAAAAAGAAAAATGAAGTGAAACCTGATGTCAAGTAGTTTTGCTATACAAACTGTAGGTAATTCTGATGTATTTTTATAAACTATACGCCTCAAACTTTCAATTAATGAGGTACATTGATCTTAAAATTACTATTTTTAAAACATTATAGGCACAAATCCCATGTTTCTATAGGGAGAACTAATACATTTGTTTGATCAACTACACAATTATCTAACGTATTTTGTTGAAAAAGTGTCTCCTATTATTTGCAACTTCATCTAAATCAGTGATTTTCAAACTGGGGTACAACAAAGTGACGGAGGGGGTACGTGAACAAAATTATATCGCATTCTTAAATAACATTCAACTGAGCATGTGTTTCTCACAGGAAAATCTAAGTTACAGATTTTCTCTCACTTAAACAACTCTCAAAATAAAGTGATCTGTGACTGGAAAGAGGAAGAAATAGTTCACTTAAAATGAGTTGCTGTATGTAACAAAACAGATGTCATTTCCCACTATGTTTATAAATGGTCATTTTCCCCCCCAACCTTATTAAATGTGTCATCTTTCACATCAAATTCTTACTTCGTTTCAATTAATTCAGTTAGAATAATAAGAAACAGTAGAGTTGTTACCATTCAAATGAAATTAGTATTAACAAACTGTATCTTTCCACTGCTGAGCAAACAGAAGCTGCATCTGAAGTGGCATTAGATGCATTTACAAAGACAGTTTGATGAGGATGAGGTGCCATAAATGCATTTACACTGCAAAATTTCAAATGCGTAAATAATTTTATAAGATTAATGTTTTACATATTTTTTTAAACATACAAATAAATGTTGAAAAAAGGCAATGATAATTTTAAATATGACTAAACCACCAGTAGGTGGCGGCAAATGGTGCATAAGTGAGGTAAGTGAGTCATGACTCACATGGCAAGTGAGTCATTTATTCATTCATTCAACCGATTCATTCAAACGGCTGATTCATTCAGAAACGAGGCAAGTGACTGTCCTTATGAATGGGCCACTGAATCATTGACTCACTCGATTCGTTCAAAAACGTGGATTCATTCAGTAACGAAACCGCTGTGTTGCTCGGAGACACACAACAGTTCTGCGGTGGCTTTGATCGTAACTATTTTCGTCAGCGAAATTGAGCAAAAACAGTCAATATTTTGTCTAAAATCTAAGTCACTTAATTTTAACTTCTTGTTTATTGAAATATATTGTATAAAATCAGTGTCACATCGCAATCGTGTTGATATTGATATTCGGGGAAACATCATGGCTGTATAATATTGCTTAACTAAATCATATTTTGTAAATAGCTTTGTTTTTCTACCGCAGTTACTTTGTGGGTGCTGTCTCTCTCACACACTCACTCACTCACTCAGGCTGTGCAAGCCTCATCTGGCACGACATAAATACATTATCAGTCGCCGTTTACACTGAATGCAATTAAAATTAGAATCATTCTCACACGAAACGACATGTTTACACCATAGACTGTATTAAAACAGGTTGACACGCGACTGTGAGTGTGCGCGTGGCTGTGACGTGATTGCTGGTGCCACTGGCAATAAAAGGATCGGCTCAGAATCGGCAAGATGTGAGATTGCCGAAAAATCGGCCGATTGCGATCACTGGCTGGTCAATCGGTGCATCTCTAAAAAAAAAAAATGGTAGTGCCGTATTTTGTGGTCAAAAAGTGCACCTGCTGCTCACCCCAACAACTTCCCCTAAAGTTCCCATTTGGTTATTTTTTGGGGAACCAAATAAGAACGTTCTAGGAACGTTCCCTGCAGGTTATTTTTAGGTTTAATTTTATAACCTAAAGAGAACGTTCCCAGTAGGTTATCTTTAGTTGTCATAACCATGTAAACTAATTAAAACTTTGCAGATGTTTCTGATTATTCTAATGCTGTAGGTTAAATGTGTATTTTTTTAAATCATAAACTATTTTTGCAGAATGTATGTCTGAAATAAGCTTTAAATAAAGTGTAGACATCAAAGTAGTCAAATCACATTATAATGATAATATAATTCCAACTTTATAGCTGAAATTAAGCCAAGGTTAAGTGTCTGAAAAGCATATCATAAACAGGGGGTTTGTTTATCTTTCTTTACTGCGCGCCTCTGATCTGCACGCGCTTTTCTCCTGTCTTCCACATAAAGCCGCGCACACACATATTTACAAATTTAACGGCCATTTAGTTTTACTGACTGACTAGCATTCGTTTATTGATCTTTTTAGTGAATAAATACTTATAATTAATATATACGCGAGTAATTATTGTGGTTTCAGAGAGATTTGACACGTGTTAACATGTTAACCGAGAGGTTTTTTTTTTTTTTTTACTGACCAAAAGAGAGAAGCACACCATCGTTAATTCAGTGGTAAGAAATTAATGTAATGTTATCCTACTTAAAGTCAAATAAATGTTATTCATGTTTAATGTCTGGAAAAATAAAATTCCTTAAATTTTTTAATTTAAAATGTTTAAAACCCAATATTTTTTTGAAGTCATTGTTATTTGGTGCTTAAGAGGTGTAAAATCTGGGTTATTATATTGTACATGGTAGTTATAATAAAGAACGGATAATTCAATCTCATTTAATGCTCCTTATGATGGTTAAATGTGCTCTGATTATCTTTAATGATTAAACAATAGTTTAAAACAAGACATGGTTTAGGTACTGATTATTGAGGGACATATCCGTCCGTCTTCCATGCCGCTCACTCCTCCACGAGACGCGAAGGTGCAGCAGTGGTATCGGATTAAACAGGTTAGGAGAATGTTTCCGGAACCTACAGAGAACGTTCGCAGTCCCCTAACCTAAAGGGAACATTCTATTTACGTTACGAAAACGTTCCTGGCTATCCAACTGGGAACGTTCTGGGGACCAGAACTGGGTCGGAGTGTAACCAGTGAGAGATGCTGTGGCAATCTCAACGCTTAGATGCCATGGGACGTGTGCTCCGTTACGAATTACAAGCGAGGGATAAAATATAAGGTAATGTTGCCAATAGGTAGATAAATGTAGAATTGCACGGTTTGCTCACATGCATTAATCGGAGTGAAGTGAGTAATGTTGAGGCATGCGCAACTTTTACATGGGACGCGCACTCCATTATGGAATAAAAGAGAGGAAAAATATTTAAGGTAAGGTGGCAAATAGGTAAGCTTAAAAGTGTATAGAAAGAAGAGGAGGGTCGCATTGTCAATTTTAACAAGTGCATCAATTGGAGTGTCCTGTCTTTAGGCAGTTGAAAAGCGTGTGGTTAATGGGTACCGTTGTGGCTACTGCTGGTAAAAAAAACAAAAAACGGTGGGTTATATTATATTGTGCAAGATGCCAGAGTGGTAAAAAAAAAAGAATAGAAGAAGACCGGGGTTACATTGTCTGTTTGCTTACATGCATCTCAGATTGGGAGCTGCCTCCAGGTGGCAGGTTTTGTGGCAGCTGCCTCGCAAAGATTTGTACCCTTACTGCAAATCACGCTTTTAAAACTTGATGCCCTTCGTGACTATGTACCTTTGTGTTCTCAACACTTACAATACATTTACACTTAAGAACAATATTGACACAGACCGATTCTCTCTCCACAGAGACTCTCTCCAACACAGCCAAACATCGCAGTTATCATATCAAGCAAGCACACCCATCTCATTAAATGGGAATTTATTTAATATATATACAGTGGGTACGGAAAGTATTCAGACCCCCTTAAATTTTTCACTCTTTGTTATATTGCAGCCATGTTGCATTCAAATGATGTGTTTGATAAAAGGGAGTTATTTTACAAAGGTATGAGCTCGTCTTTTTTTTTTAAATATGTTGTGACTAGTTTGAGAGAGGGGGTATGCGGAAGGATAAATGCCTGCAGGGGTACGCGACTGTAAAAAGTTTGAGAACCACTGATCTATATTATTGAACAGCTCTAGAGATTGTTCCTATTACAACAAACAAAATCTAAATCTGCCTGAAGTTTTATAACTGTCAGCATTATTAATGAAGAATGAAGAATAATCACCAACCTGTTTGTTCTTCAGTGTGTTTGATTCTGCAGGGTTCTGGATCTCTCATCTTCTCTCTGTCCTCTTTAATAAACTCAGTGTTTGCAGATTTCAGCTCTTCCTGATGATTTGATGCTCGTCTTCACTTGTAAACTGATGGGAATATTACAGCATATATTGGTGAATTGCTGAATGTGTGATGAAACTGAACATGAATTTCTGTACGTGAAGCAGATTTGCCAAAATCATCAATAAATCAGTTAACTTATTTGATTTTTAACTAACTTACACATTTAAGCATTTATGTATGTGAAGCAGATGTCCTCCAAATTCTATATCTGAAGAGACCAGAGCCTTATAAATATACAGTGTTGTCTCTTTGTAAATCACTATATTACTATAGTAAAAGTAACAGCATCGACACAAAGAGCACATCAATTTAAAATGCTCATTCTGTAACACTGCAATCTCATATGTGGTAATTCACACATTCTATGCATTTCTTCTTTCTATTGTTCACATTTCTATCCATATATTTTTTTTCATTTTGCCCCCGTACATACAAGGTATCTGTATAAATAAATATAAAAGAATATATTCTAAATTCTTCCAAATATAGAGAGCAGTAAGAATGAAAAAATAAATAAATGAAAATTAGCTACAGGTACATAACTACATTAGAGCACATAACATCTAAAAATAGTTTGGTTTTCTAAAAAACTACATTCATAGTAATAAATAAATTAACACGTTATAGTTTAACTGAAAGTGATTGTAATGTTCTTTAAACGGAAAGAGTACCACAAACCAAATTTTTAATGCTTTATGTTTCACAACATTGTTCATGAAGAATTAAGAATAAACACCAACCTCTTTCTTCTTCAGTATCTTAATGCTTCACTCTTGAAGGGTTCTGGATCACTCGTGTTCTCACTGTAATCTTCAATAAACTCGATCTAGGTTTCTGTTCTTACTCCTGCTCCGAATGCATGTTTTCACTTGTAAATGATTCGAGATGCTTTGAAAACGTCTCAAATCTTTTGTTTTAAAACAGCAGTTCGGAGCGCGTCTCTTCTTTTCTTCTTCTTCTTCTTGGTGTTTAATGGCGGTTGGCATACAACTTCAAGGTGCATTACCGCCACCTGCTGGTTAGGAATGTGGACTAAGATTGCAAAACCCTTTTCCTAAGACCCCCTAAACACCTATATTCTTTTATCTAAATCAGTAATTTCCAGATATAACATTTAAAATCAATACATCATATGAGCTCCTTTGCAATATGTCTGTTAAGTCAAACTTCATCTTAATTCTTTTCAAATTAAAAACCAGTATTCTCCTTTCACTATTATACTTTGGACATTTCATTATAACGTGTTCCACAGATTTCTCTTGATTACAATGTTCACATTTTCCTGTCTGATGTTTCCCTATTTTATTCATGGTGCTGTTAAGTGCTATAATTGATTCTTCCTTTCTATTTTTCCTTGTTATTCTACCTTTACCAACATTTCTTTGGATGTTATAAAGCCATCTTTCTGTTCTTTCTTCTTCCCATTGTTTCTGCCATCTATTTTTCACATGTTGTTTAATTAAAAACTTAATCTCAGTCTTACTATAATTTACTTTCATGTCTATATCTGATTTTCTTGTGGCTTCCTTAGCACATTCATCCGCCAATTAATTTCCTTTTATAGAGTGGGGGAACTATGACGTCACTTTGTAGGCGGATTGGCTGTTAGCATGACACTGGTTCCCTCGACAAAAAGCCTATAGGATTTTTCCATAGGCTTTTGCATTATCGCAAAAAATAAGCTCTGTGTTCAACCATAGTTCATGAAACTTACACGTTTTGTCCATCAAGATAATCTTCACAAAATAATATAACTTTGATGAATTTTGAAGCCTAAATAAACGCGCCAGAACTTAAAAGCTATAATTCAGGCTATAAACGAACTACAGAACCGCGGTCGCTCACCTTCAACGTCACCACCATATGCTTCCAACAACTTTTTCAAACTTATTTTTAACGTGTTCAGTGAAAAGGATTTACTCTGTATATGAATTTTAATCGACCCTACATTAACCTTTTCATATAAACTGGAATAAATACAAAACTAGAGCCAAACTAAAACTGAAATGAGATATTAATAATAAATAGTATAGTGAATAAATGAAATAATCATAACTAAAGGACATATGAAAGCACGTATTTCTGTACATTTCGAAATAAGGTGCATTAAAAGTCAATAAATCCTTGATTAATATGAATATTTTAATTAAAAACGTGTCTCCACGTAGAATTCAATTGTAAATGTGGTGTTTACATGGAATAATCGTAATATGAGTTTCCCTTATGGTACGAACCCAGAGTCTCCGCATCAGTAAGCGATAAATCGATCATCTTCCATACGAATCATCGACGAAAAAATCATCATCGAACAACAATATAAAATGCGGGAAACTATTAATTGGTTATTCTACAATTAATTGTATTACAAATTATACTATGACTGGAAATACTGTAAATTGATAAAATGTCCAGCGTGATGACGTTATATGTCTCCGACAGCGCCTGTAGTCCCATTTAGCAACTTGTTAGCAACCGTCTTTTTTAAGAAACGTAACAGTTAAAAAAAATCCCGAGTGGGGTGTAACTGGTGTGTTTTATGTCGTAGAATAAAGCATGAAAGTATTTTGAGCCTGTGTGAACCACGGACCTTATTTTAGGGATTTAACCAAAATCCCATTCAAATAACCCTTTGACTCTGGGACGATGGAACCGGAAGTGTTAAAATGAAAACTCGCTTCCGGGTTTTTGCCTACAAAGTGACATCATAGTTCCACCACTGTCGGTGCGTTCCAAACGGAATATATATTTCACTTAGGAGTGAAAACAATCATGGCCGCCATATTGAAGGGTCGCTCCAAACCGAAGTGCTCAAAACTGGCCACTTCAAAGGGCCCTTCGGAATGAAGGATTTCGAAGGGTACAACTAATGGACAGGCTCCCATGATCCTTCGCATGATGATGGCGCCTCCGTGTGGGCACGTGATTATGACGCAGAAGGGCACTTCAAGAAACAGTTGTTTGGTCCCCTACACCCTTCAACCCTTCAAAGCTCTCACTCCAGAGGGTAAACCCTTTGAAGGGATTAGGGCATAGGGATGAACCCTTCCAAATGGAACACAGGGTGTATCATGAGAATGGCTTGTCACCCCACGGAAGAGAGGGGCGGGGTCAGCAGAGCTCATTAGCATTTAAAGCAACATGGACTAGAACCGCGTGCTGAAAACAGAGCTGATTTTGACAGGGGAAAACAACTGGTGTTTTCTACACTATCAATGAGCAATTTTAACAAAATTATGTTATGGACTTTTCATTAAGACCCTAAAGAATCATATCAACTTGTGGAAAATGGGCATCCGATGACCCCTTTAACATATAGTTTATGCAACTGGCCCTTGGTCTTTTGTTGCTTCTCAAGTAGGCGTAATAGCATCTCATCTCAGGACTAAAATACTCTTCAGGTTTATCTCTATTGGATGTGTTACTTCTTCTGTCACTACTAAATAATCATTAAATAGAGAAATCATTGTACAAACTTGTCCAAACTTGTCTAAACATGTCTAAATCGAAACTGAAAGGAAATCGAGGTTCAAAACGTATGTACATTAATAATAAAAACACAAAGAGCAACATGTTCCACATGCTGTTGTAGAGCTGTGAAGAATCTGAATTTATTAAAGATGATCGATGAGATTTTTATGTTTCTGTTCTGCTGAATCTGTCGTCCTACACTCTCTTGTACTAGACTAGATCCTAAATTCAAAAGACTGTTTAAAAAACACTAGGCTTCAACGGAGAGACGTTACACGAGATAGGATTACGACTTTCATCAACAATGTGAATGACATTTAAAGAAGAACCAGTATAATTTTACCCTTGAAAGAAATAGATATCGACGCACAGTTTCTAAAGTCCAATGGTTCGCAGCACATCAGGGGTTTGAGCACCTGCCCTTTTTCTTCCACGGGAGAAAAGAGAAAGTGCCCTTTTCTGAGGTGTGTTGTGGCAAATAAAATTATATCACTGAATAAGAGACAAACATGTCCAATTGTCTTTAAAGATGGTTTATTTTCTTGCAAGAAAAGGCCAGCAGTCATACAGCCACTTAGAGTGGCTGCAGAGTGTGACAGTGAAGGGAGGGCATTCTTCCTCTTTTATAGCACATCCATCAGAATGTTGTCTCTCAGAACATTATCTCTAAGGCCAAAGATGGTATTTCAATGGTGGTGATCATGTAACCACATTCTTACTATATTCTTACACATTCTTAAATATATTTATCAAATCAAAATATCAGGTCGGGAGATGAGACTTTGTGTTTTTCTCAGCTTGTGTGGAGGTTAATGGTGATGAACAAGCTAAGCTACCAATGCCTCGGCTTTATGGCTAATTGGACTGAAGACAAATATAGTTAACCTGTGTCTGCATGATTTGTGAGCACTAACTAATGTAATAAATTAGCTAAAGTTTAGCTAAGTAGCCTACTGTACTGTAGCCTACTTTATAGAAGGCAGTAGGTAGATAAACAGTACAATTTGTGTCTAAAACGTCACCAAAATTGCCACATTGATATCCAAATTAGGTTTTAACTAGGCTAATTAAAATGTGCTTATTTGCAAACATTTGACAAGGCACTGCCTGTGAATAGGATAAACAAAATAACTAAAGCGTTTCACCACATAACTTCCCCAGATAATGATGAGAGTCTTTAATCAAGAGCCTTTTTCCCTGAAATGATTATTATGCAGGTTAGCTTGTTTTGGTCAGTTCTTCTAAACTAAATTGAACTACCCTCCATCTTTTTACATCTGTATGTGATTTTGGGTCATTCTTCAATTGGGGTGGCAAATGAGAGGCAGAATTTGTAAAAATGGTTGTTTGTTTTTTTTTCTAATAAAATGTATTGCTGTTACGGGACGAACGAGACGTGAGATGTGCGGATCCATCTGCAAGGCTTTATTAAAGGGTGTGGTCATGAAACAGGCATGGGTCATACAATGGCA